TAAGAGAGTATGAAGTCAAAACAAACAGGTGAGATTGTTCCATCCCTTACCAAAAAGTAGTATACTTCAAGTTTATTTTAGTAAGTATGATTTCCAAGTGAATATTTGTCGTCTTTCTAGAATCTTCTCACATCTCCAGACGTCTCTGCCCAGGTAATTAGATCACAGCACTTGTTAAGCTAAAAAGAAAAAAGGAGATAAAATTCTCTCTCTCTCGCCTCTCCCATTATGGTTTCTTTCTCCCCCAGAGCTATTTGACTACTGTATCACGACTTGAAAGTTGAGGAAAGTCCTAAGCTGTCAGGAGGCATCAGAGAGCTGCGGTGCCCTGCGGAGAGATCGTCTCCGTGCTGCTAAGATGGAGGCCAGCGCCCTTTCATCCTCTCCTGCAGAAAGATGCTCTTTCATTCTCTCAAAGGTAATATGTCTAACAACATCAAGGTGAGGGAGATTGCAGATGCGGTGCAGGAAATTCTGCTGTGCAACTGGGATGCTGGAAGGAACAAAGAGTTAGTGAGAAAATATCAAACACATGGGGGATTGGTGTAATGAATTTAGATAGTCGATTTAGATACCGGCGTCTGTGTTTGGGGAGAAAAGCCCAGCTTGAAGTTTCTCAAACCTGAATGGATGACCAGGGCCTTTCCTGATGAGAAATTAATGAGGTCTAGCAGAACCTATTAAAATGTGTCTCTCTGCTAAATATGATTTTCCTCTTTCAAGGTCATACAAGTAGCAGCAATTTAGATAAATGTGTACTCATGTAATTAAGCTGCGTTCTGTGTAGACACGGCTCAAACCTCACAGACAGCAAATCAGTGACATCTTTAAACAAGAACAAAAGAGACTAACGGTATTAAACATGGACCAGGAAATTTACTATCTTCAGCAGAGTGAAGACCGTAGGGATCTGGGATTAAGTAAATTGAATTGAACTAAATGGAACTGGGCATACTGAGAAAACAGAAACACGTTCACTTTGTCAATTAGTTGGGGGGGCATTTTGAATAGATTCATTTTAGGATGGACACCTTAGGCATTAAAATACCACTGAAAAAATGAGATTAGTTAAATTACAGAGCACATAGTCATCTATTGTCGGCATCTCACCGCAACAGTACTACGTTAAAAAATAGTAAGCTGTTTTTAGTGCATGTACACACCAATGCCTGTGTTTAGATCTACTTACTTCTTTAATACAGGCAGTTTCATGTCTGAGAGGCTGATTTTTAAAGCTTACAGGATTCAGAATTTTTGTTATATTAAGGTCACTTGAAAGCTGTTTTTCTGCCTTGAGTGTGAGTCTTTTTAGGACATTGGTTTTTTGAAAGTCCACAAGACATCAGTGCTCATAATTATAGTTACACCCCCATATAGGTGCGGGGTGTGTCATTAACATACAGTCACTTTTAGGAAGATGAATAGACAGACAGGCTGAGAGTGAAGCATGGCCTTTAGCCTCATAATCCTACTTACAATGCAGAGAGAGCCCCGAACTTACCAGAAAAACACTGCCTGTCTACCTCCTGCTGAGACCAGAGAATATGGGCGCTTGATGGCTGGTACGTCAGCACGTGGGGCGTGGGCCTGTACAAACTCAGTCACACTTGAAAACAAAGACACAGAAAAGGGGACATTAACAAATATCTTTATATAATCTTTATATAATCAAACCCCCAAAAAGTGGGTTTTTAAATCACAAATAAATTGCTGACTGTCTGACAAAACATCTAAGGAAATGTAAAGAATTAACACTTTTGAGATGCTTTTCAAAGCAATTTTCACCCAGCAAACCTGAAAAATGACGGGTTATAGTGCAGCTGTTTGCATCAGGTTGTACAGGTGCTGAGTGATTTATGGCTCTTCTCTGTGATGTGGTTTAGTTGAAGAAGTGTCATTTATGCTATTCCTCATCTCTGTCCTGGCCTGTCAAACATACCAGCCCGCTGGCTCCATGTCGAGCGTTTGCATGTTTCAGAGATGGGAAGTTGTCAGGGACTGACGAGACAGGTGAAACAAAACCTACAAGCCCAATTCTCTGTTGAGTCTGTCTTTCTTGTTAAAGAGCGATGGCTAATGAGGTGTGAGATATTCACCTTTGTGCTGTATGCCTAGATTAACTAGTTTGTCTCCTGTTCTAGGGGACAAATTGAATAAGAATCAGACTTTGTGCAGTGCACTACCATTCCATAGAGCTTTTCACACTGCGCTTAACACCTGGATCTAAACCCTGCTTTTATAACCCCGGGTAAAGGTACATTTTACACTTGTAATTTAGAAACGGGGTTAACACTTCTCTTTACCCGGATTTATGGGGTGTTAACCCTGCATTGCGGTGCCAAACGTGCACAGTGCTTAGCAAGATACACCCAATCGCGTGCCTCATGCGTGTCACATGCTTTAGTTTGGACAGTCAGCGACACATCGCGCATTCTAAAAACAGTCGTTTCAGTATTTGAGGGGAAAGGGTCAAGTTGGTGATAGAAAACACATGAATTGGATTCAAGAATAGACTATTTTATTCTTACCTTTGTAGTCCACCAAGCAGAGCATTCAGGAAAAACTTGACAGTACAGTCTACAATAGAAGAATGAATAGGTATCTGAGCTCCATTGCAATACTTTAAAAACAAAATTACAGAACATTCTGTAATCATTTAAACCTGTGAAAAAAAGCTCAGAGATGACACACTTTCCACCAAAACACACCTATTCTGAGTGTATAGAAAATAGCTATGATTATGCTCAACTATATAGCCTGAAAATGCTAAAAAGAAGAAAAAAAAAGAAAAAAAAAAGGGGACACTGTCCATTAAAGCTGAATGTTTTCTCTGGCTGTAAAACTCTGCAGAAAGGCCACTAAGGACATACCATCCTCTGTTTCCACTGCATATCTAAGGGCAGGTTCAGGTAATGAAAACACAGCAGTCGTATAACACAGACACGGGCTGAGACACCTGTTTGGAAGTCCACAGGGGAGGAAGAGCAGGTAATAAGCACCTGACACAGAGAGAGGCAGCTGTCAGGAACAGTGAAGCTGTCCAGAGGCCGGTATAATGAGGTGTAATTAAGGTCCAGCTAACTAGCCTGCGGCTGTCAACTGCCTATCATAATACATCTGCAGGACTCAAGGCCATGGAAACAAGAGAAAAAAATAGGGTTTGAAATATTTTGTCAGATCAATGCTGAACCAATAAAATTATCAGCGGGCATGAGGAGTCCCATTGAGACAGCTGGAAAATGTGAGCAATAAAACTGTCTTTGGAATATTCTGTCTTTTCGGAAAACACCAGTGCATTTCAGAAACTAAAATTATTTATAGAAATTCATAAAATTAAGAAGTTATTTATTTAAGTTTATTACATGATTCTTAATTATTTAAGAAGTTAATAAATAGCTATAGTCACATGATTTCTGCAAACGAGGCTTCGTTTCGTCATTATGTTTTGAACCTTGTTTCGAAACTTTCCGGTGGTTCGCCGCTAGAGGTGAAAACACGAAACTGTGTCTAATGGTTTTAATTGTTTTAATTAAGTTTAACAAACATGCATGCATAATTAAAAAGGTAGAGTGAAAATGGGTTCTAATTGGCCTTCTTAGTCAAGTATTGCCTAAAAACATAAAACAAGCACTACAAATTAAAAAAGAATACAAATTATGCATACACTTCATAATCAATTGAATTAATTGACTTGCAGTTACACTTTCATAAGACATTAATTGGTTTGTAAAAGATGTCTTTTGGGTTGTGTTCAAATTTACTGTTTTGACCAGCAGGTGTCACCCGAGTGCAGTGTTTCGAGTGCATCGATTTTTATTTTTTTGCGAAGCAATTTGTTAAATTGATTGTTTGTTCAAATGTTTGTTGTTGCATTGTTTGTTCCATCTCTAATGATTTGTCCAGGCAGACCCATTTGTTCATGACTGCCGTTACTTTTGTATCACACCGAAGACACACTTGTGTCATACGAAGTAGGCTACTTGGTGCTTTTGTACGTCGTAGTGCACTATTTTACTAAGCGGAAGCTTTAATACATGTAAGATTATATCCGTGTATTGGCAAATGTGAACTATTATATATATTAGAATGCAGTGCCAACCCACCATCAATGGCATTGTGGGAATTCACATAGTGGCACTGGAATGTAAGGGTGAGCAAAAGCCTGTGGTGGCAGAGGAGCACAAAAGCACAGGCTGAAGCATCATGAGAGATGGATCCATTCCCATCAAGCTGGAAGACAAAACAAAGAACCACAGGGGAGCAGATGCAGTTGATTTATGTACTCTCCACCTTTAGACTGCAGCATGAAGTCACAGATGTGCAAAATAGGGTGGAAAAAAAGTGTCCTGAGGAAGAATAAGCAGAAAAAGAATGGAATTCTAATTCAAATTAACATGGTGAGGAATTTCATAAGACATATTTGATTCAACATACAATTTGACCTTGATCAAACCTGATTCAGTGGCTCAGTTTTAAGTTGTTTTACAGTATAAGTGTGATCAGAATGCGATTTAGAAATGTGGAGAGGAAATTTCTTTGTCTTTCATTCCAGCAGCTTTGATGCTTTTTGTCTTTGCCTGCTCTGTTACAGAATTACCACACCCAAAAATGTGCGCACACACAGATGCCCTCTTCTGGTCAGGTTGGAGTTTGGTCCGTCAAAGTGAAATTCTGAATAATTTTGAATATTCTAATATGTTATTGCTGTTGTATTTCATTTTTAATCATTTTAACCAGATTTAGCACAACATATAAAAATGTTACACTGAAAAATGCTTACATTAATTCATTTTGTCTATATATATAGACAAAATATTTTATGTCATGTTTTAAAGACTTACATACATTACATACATAAAATTACATAAAGCAAGACAGTAATGTCTTATTTTAAGGAAGACTAGTTGGCATTTCTTCAGAGATACAAAAAATGAATATTAACAAATATCCCATCCTTAAGGATCATACCTAAAACTCTAACATCTAAAGCTGAACTTAATTTTTTTCTGCATACTTCACTAAACGTTTGGAAAACATTTCACTGAGAATTTGTGGCTTTTACTGATACATCTGAGGCTTCATGGGATGAACAATGGGAGAAGGGTGTCGGCCATTTCAAAGTGTAGTCCCTGTAAAACATCATATGAGACGTTAATTGTGACACAGACTTTTAAAAACAATGAGCTTATTTTGTACATTTAATTCACATCTCATTGTGTATGTAATTCATCTAAGGATGAGGGAAGAGCATGAGAGGACCTGTGGATTTTCTGCCCTTTTCTCTTCTGAAACTCTTCCTCATCCACTGTCCACACCGCCCCTGTCCTCCCGTCCACCCGCACAAAGCATTTGTGGAGACTAAGATTGTGTCGCACAGCATTCTGAGAAAAAGGTTGAAATAGCTGTTAATCAGAGAATATAATTGATATTCATATGAAACAGGTCTACTGCCATTATTCAGTATGATTTTATGTCAAGAGCTCCACCATGTGGACATAAATATAAATAAATATATATAAATGTCAGGCCAATCTCAGGATCTAATAAATAAACCTGCTCAAGACTGGAGCTTTTTTTTTTTTTTAATTAAGCTAATTTATATGGCATTAAATCAGACGCACAAGCACAATATGATTCAAAAATATTATTATACATATTATACATTTTAATATTTTAAATATGCTTAAATTGAGTTTCAAACTGAACAGAAATGGGACTGTCTCCAGATCTCAAACTGATGGTTAGTTGGCAGTGTCAGCATGTTTAGTACCTTCCATGTAGGAGAATTGTGACGGAAGTAGAAGAACATTCTTGTGAACCAGTTGTAAATTTCGTTTAGCGTCCGCTGTTTGTCTGGGGCTTCCAGGATTGACTGTAGGAATCAATGATTAATTATATATATATATATTTATTTATATATTACATATTTTTTATTTGAGAATCGCTATATCTAGACGCTCTCATGAAACTTGTGGCAGTGTCAGAGTATTCTGAAGAGTCTTACGGTACGCGTCGAGATGCATTCAAACAGATGAAGGTGAAGTTGCATGGCGTGAAGTTTCTGCTTCTCCTGAATGAGCTGAAATCATCACATATAGCTTGTTAGAGCCAGTGGGTTTTCAAACCACTGTTACCAAGACGTTTGATTCTTTTGGGTTCACACTCAATGACTCAAAACCAATGAAACCATGATTCACTTTCTTGTGCCTCATTCATGATAACTGATGATGATCAATGATGCAAAGCGTTACTTGTGTGTGCTGCCCGTGAAAGACTATATCACTGATGTACCTGATTCTCCATGTGGCGTACCAGGTCTTGCTGAACTCGCCACTGTGCAATCGTTTTCTCATCTGTGCTGTGGTCTCGGTTCAGATGTCTAGACAGGATGAGAATCAAAAGCTGTGTTCTAAAGTTTGAAAATGATCAATTCCAACAAGGAAGGCTTGCTGATGTTACTTCAGATAGTAAAAAAAAAAAACGTATAGACTTACCTCAGAAAATGTGTATACCCTTCAAAGACTTTGTCACAGCCTGGCCAGCGACATTGTCCGTTTACAAAAAAAGAGTTGGATCTCTGGATTTCTGACTCGACTGGGCTGAGAAGGACACATGAGGGACATCAAGATACTTACTGATGAACATTTAATACCATTACAATTTTATTTTCTTACCTGTACTTACCTGTGAGAATGAAAGCTGGAAGATTGTTTCCTGTGCTGGCTTGATCCAGAGACAGCTTGGATGGAAGTCTGCGCACTGTGACCTGTGTCTTTTCTTCTGTTCAAGGCTGTTGGGTTGCTCTCATTTGCTAAAGAATAAGGCAAAATAGTGCACATTTGTGAGTACTTTAACAAATTATTTTTTTCGGCTATTTATTATATTATATTGTTTTTAAATTAGTAAAATATACTATATAAATATATGTATAAAAAATGTTTTTAAAACTATAAATCTCAACTAAAATTATTTAAATTGTCTTTAAATTATGTGTGTGTGTGTTAATATATTCTATAATATATATTATATTAACAGTAATAAATAAAATAGTATATCTAAATATATAATATACTGTATAACATTACATATAAATATTATGAATAATACACTGCAATCACAGCATAATAAAATATTGATCTTGACAGTTGTGGTCAAACATTTACACACCCCTTGCAGAATCTGCAAATTATTAAAAAATTAAACATAACAACAACAATAATTATTATTATTGTTGTTGTTGTTGTTTGCAGAGTTATTTGTGTAAATTCAGTTAGTACTATTCAGTTAGTACTACATAAAAAATAACCTGCAATTTTAATGATCACTCTTTAAAAATAAATTTTTTAAATGAGCATTTTGAAGATTCTACAAGGGGTACAGAAACATATGACCACAACAGTATTATATAAAATAACTACATTGTTAAACAGCACATCCTTCAGACAGTTCATGTTTTGTTTTTATTTTTATTTCTTTTGAAACCTTTTGAGTTGAAACACTTTGAAACAATTTGAATTAGTTGTATGCAATGGCAGTTTTCGTGATTTAAAATGCCTTTGCTATTCATAACATGTAAATATATGGAATATAATGATACCTCTGAGGATTTCACCACTTTGACTATGTCAAGGAAAAATGTGAAGTTTGAATAATTCATTGGAACACAAACCCTGAAGCAGGAGAGCCGGAGAGCGAAGTACAGATGGCCTGATCGGGCCAGACTGAGAATTCTGAAACACCAGCTGAAGAAACTGCAACCGTTCCTCATCAGCAGCTCTCTGCACACCAACACACAGAGAATCAGGCCAACACAATAAAGGCCATTCACAGAGAGCTACAGCACATTTGTACTATAGCTTTTAAACATCAGTAGTTTATTAATGTACCTGGCACAGAGGATGTTTTTATTTGTGATCAGGACAAACAGAAAATAAAAATTATAAACATTAAGAACAAATATATATACAAATATAAATATATGTATATAACAAAAAATACACATAGCAAGAAAATTAACAACAATTTTATTAAACAAAATACTTCTATACATAAAACAATTTTGAATCTCCAGAAAATGCAGTGTAAATTATATGCAAACAACCTACAAAGGGATGTCGTCCTTTTTAAGGCATCGTTACAGAAAGTACCAGAGAATAAAGCTGCACTCACACAACGTACCCCAGAAGAAAGATGTTCCATGGGCTGTGGTGAAGAAGATTTGTATAACAGAGGGGGAGATGCGTCCCGCTCTTCTTTTAGTGGTGGCTGTCGTTCATTTTCTCTCCCACTCACTCTTTTGTCTCTCTCAGATTGAGGCATTCCTGAAGTCAAAGAGTTTGAAAAAGATTGCAGATTGATGTACAGAGTTGCAAACTTACTCCCTCTTTGAACTGTTGCCATCTGGTCGACGCTACAGAGCACTGAGCACCAGAACGACCAGACACAGGAACAGTTTCTTCCCTCAGGCGATCCATCTCATGAACACTTAACAATAACTGTGGAACACACACTATTTATACACTTATTTATCTAACACTCATACTCAGTCTACACCTCAAATTTGCACATAATATACAGTACCTGTACATACAAAAACTGTCTATTGTAATATACCTGCACATACAACTGTCAATTTATATATTTTTATTCCTTATTTACTTGTTCTATTTTTTTTTTATTTTTTTTATTAACTGTTTTTTTGTTCTGTCACTGTCATTCTGTTACACTGTGGAAGCTTCTGTCACGAAAACAAATTCCTCGTATGTGTAAACATACCTGGCAATAAAGCTCATTCTGATTCTGATTCTGATTACATTTTAATTTTACATAATATATACTGTAGGAGAGACAATGAAACATTTAACTGAATGTTAGCTTCTTAAATTTATCTTTAAGGTTAACTTAGCATTGTATTTTCCTGTATTAGGAAATATGATCGCTTAAAAAAATCTAATCTCAACATTTTTGATGAATGGCTATGGTATTTTTAATTTGGTCATTTTATCAATATTCATGAGATTTAGTCAGCTGAAACAGTTTTGATCTAAATTTTTGTCTCTGGAAAATAGTAATCAATAACATTGTATTATGTTGAAAAGCAAAGTTTTTTGTGTGTCTATTTGTTAATGAGGGATCTATGGTCACATTTCGATTTGTGGAGTACAATATACAGTTTTTATTTTGAAATAAGAAGAATTAGACCCTTGGGGTAAGATGCCCACCCTCTAAGTGGCAAGTTGTTACTAGTGTAACTATTTTTACATTTAATACTTCTTGTAATTAATGGGATTATTATTCAGTATTTTCATTAATTAGATGAAAATATTGGATATCTTCCCTTTCAGTAAAACCTGTAGGTTAATTGAGTGAAATAATTTAATTTGAATTCATAGTGTTGCTATTGTGACATATCTTCCATTATATATATA